GGAAAATATAATTTGAAACCTACAGTTATTTATTGTATTAATAACCATATCATCATCAGTGCTCCTAGTAATTGCAATCAGTGCTAAGGCCCCATATAAAAGCCACCATTAATGACACTATCACTCTTAATAATGATTAAACATCTGCTACTTATGAATAACATGTATGCTTTGTCTCAATTGGCATAAAATTTTTTAACTTTTAAGGTGAATACCATATGCTTTTCACAGTGAAGTGAAAGTAGGAAATTTACACGTAATTAATTTACCCAAAATTGTACAGCTAGCAAAAAAACCACTATCAGTTAAGACACCACAGCTAAAGATGTTCCTCTAAAACCCACTGCAGCAGAAGAGGTCTCCTTCACTGTGTTAGTTTGTTAGGGCTGCCGTAACAAATTATCACAAACTCATTGTCCTAAAGCAACGAGAGTCTGAAATCAGTGTCACCAGGGACATGCTCCCTCTGAAGGACCTAGGGAAAGATCCTTCCTCACCACTTTGCAGTCGGTGGTGTTCCTCTGCTTGTATCTCTGTCACTGCAACCTCTGCCTACATTGTCACATGCCTTCTTCTCTGTGTGTGTGCAGGAATGTATGCATGTAAGTGTGTGTGTACCTAAAACTTTTCTCTTTATCAGGATACCAGCTTTGGAGTTCAGCCTCACACTATTCCAGAATAGCTTCACATCAATTGGATTATATCTACAAATCCTTCTTTCCAAATACTGGCTCATCCACAGGCACCAGGTGTTAAGGTCTGAGCACAGCATTTCTAGTATAGTTCCCTTCCCTTACACTGTCTTTGCTCTGAAGAGCCATCAGTGATTGAGGACCTTTTAGAGACGAGCCCCAAACTGCAACCCAAATATCACTTATTTACTGCGACGTGCTCACACGGGGTTTTTGGTCATAAAAAACAACTCATACATCAACATCTTTTGTCTTCAAAGAGAAACAGGTAACACGTGTGCCACAGGCTGCCACCTGGCTCACTCTCGGTGTGTTCTTCTCTCCAGCTTGACCTGCCAGCATGTTATTTCCTTGAGGGTTTAGTGCAGACAGCATCTTGTTCTTAGTCTTTGCTCACTGTTTAGGTAGAATTATTCTTGTTTCCAGAACTCAGAGAACACTTTGTTCCAATTCGACCATAAAAATAAGCAATTCCCTTCTGTTATTTTCTTTTCTCCGGTACCGGGAACCGAACTCACAACCTTGCGCTTGCCAGGCAGGCGCTTTGCCACTGAGCTAAATCCCCAGCCCCCGTTCTGTTATTTTCATTCATTTATACGTCTACTTCACTTAATATACTGTAACCTATTAAAAATGCAAAATGTCTGTTACTTATAAGTCTTTGACTCGCACAGTGTTTTGTCCAGAAGTAAACATAGTGTATATTCAACATATATTTAGTGAATGGATTAAAATTTCTTCATAGGGGAGGAGCGTAAGGAGCTCCCTTCTGCTAGGACTAGAATGTAATCTTGGCAAAGGCATCTCGAGTGGCGAAGCAGGAATCACTGCTGTGGTTCATTATGAAAACCAGTGCAGAGAATTCATCGTAACACTTGTGCGTTTGCAGCTTGAGAAGTGGTCACTGTGGGATTTAATCCCAAGAGATAGAGAATGCCATGAGTTTAGTTTTAGTTCTTTCATATACACCTCAGGTTCACCATTGGTTTATGTTCTTTGTTAATCCACTCTTTCAAACCACGGAATACAACAGGAGACAGACCATCCAGGAATATCTACCGTTTATATTTGCAAGTAGCTAGGAGCTTTAAATATATCTATTTCTATATAACTGCTTGAAAGATAAAACAATTAAGCATTAGATGAGTTAATTATTTAGTGCCCAAGAGCTATTAAAGGGCAGGAACGGAATTAGAACACAGATCTGCAAGTTCCAAAGTGCACTTTCTTGTACAAGACTGACTCCAAGGAAATATTTTCTCCTAAGTGTTGAAAAGAGCTTAGCACAACAAAATGCCATTTCTTTGTTCACCTTTACTACTGTAAAATAAAACAGACTGCAAGCCTCAGGCACCTCAGACTTCACAATTACATAAAACCATAAACCATGTTTAATCATGATAAATAAGGGTAATAAATTTCTTGTGTATTGTCTCATCTATTTAGTGCTTTTAGCCATTCTTCAATCTGTCAATTTAAACCTAGGGTACTGAAAACATTAATATTATGGGCTTAGGCCATTTTCAGCATATACCTATAATGCAAAGTTCAGGGTCTCTTCCAGAGACAAATCACACAGCAGTGTGAACTTTTATCCTGACAAACCTTGAAATAATACAAGTGTTGTATTATTGAGGGGCTCCCAGATTCAAAAAAGATGTTCATAATGATGTCCAAGTACAGATTTTAAATGTTTTACAATTTTGTTTCATTTTAATGACTACGAAAAACAGCAAGCTTGACAGGAAGAATTTATTTTACCTCATTTCAGGAGATTTGTCTGTAATATTTAATAATGGAGTTAAGGAAATAAGCTCAATTCATATATATGAACAAAGGTAGGATCAAACTATTTCGTAACAATTTTCCGTAAACCCACATATTATTAACATTTCTTTTTATGATTTCCAAAGTGACTTTATATTTGATTGCAATTTGATTGTAATATGTTTTATAATTTTATTTTTATATCCGTATATAATTTATATACTTATATACTTGGCATATAGTTAATTATGATCACATGAAATATTTTATTTAAAAAATAAAAATATATTCTTCTAATCAATAGCTATTATTACTTTTCCTGAGATCTAATGGGGGATTTTTATTATTACTTTTTCTTTTTATTTGAGTATTAATGTTATTTCTGCAATACTTTTACTAGCTAATATTCATTATTAATGTAATATCCTAACAGTACTGCAATAATTAGGGTTTTACTTATACAAGCTGATATTTCGAAAGACAACTGACACCATTTTAGGAAAGTGAAATTTTCTGAAAAATGAAAAAAAGCTTAACAAGGGCCTATCCTTTTATTCCTTATGTAAAACTTTTTGGTGGTTAATATGTTTTACAAAGTCAATGTTCCATTTAAGAACAAAAGCAGAAACAACTAACATTTACTTGGAGTCAATACTTTGTAAACAAATGACTATGTTTGTTTCTTTGGATGGAATAAAATACAGTCAGAAGTGTTTTCCCTGTTCCTTTAAAACTAATGATAAAAGATTAAGAAATAAGATTTACCTTTTGGGCTGGTTTCTTTCTAGTTTCTCATTTTCCTAAGTGAGGCCCAAGTAAATAAATTTCATAGTAAGACACTTGTGGCAATGCCTTATGAAATTGAAAGGTAGCACTGGGAGTGCCTTTCAAAATGACTTTTGAGACTTTAAAAAAAATTTTCATCCTAAAATCTGTAGAAATTTAGCTTTAAACTTGTAGGATTTCCTAGAAGTATCCAGAATTGCAGTAACTTTAGTATAAGTTGGTTGTTTTTGTTTAATTTTTTTTTTTTAGTACTGGGAATTGAAGGCAAGAAGCCCTTTAGACTGAGCTACATTCAATCTCTATTGGTTTTTTTTTTAAAGCTTTATTTTGAGACGATTCTCATTAACTTTCTAAGTTGCATGGGACTTGACCTTGAGATTCTCCTACCTCAGCCTCCCAGAGTATAACTGATACTTGATTTTGTTTTTCATAATTCAAGGACAAAATGCTGGACTTTTTTCAAATGTACAGGTAGGCATAAATCATTGAAATAACTAATAAACACTATTGACCTCCTGCCATGAGGAATTTTTGTGTTTATAAAATCTTTAATTGTTAATTAGACATAAGTCAAACTGAATAATGATTGGTCAGTATCTTTCATAAAATGCTTACTTAAACTTTAGCATACACAAGATTACCCAGGATCCTTTTTTAAGATCTTGTTTTACTCAATTACTGGTGAAATTCTTTTATTTTTGTTTCCATTGTTTTCACTTTTTTTCCAGAACGCATCAATCAGGATTGTTTTAAAGCTGTTTAAAAGTTAGTACGTGGATCACTTGTAGAGCTTTTTTTTTGTCTACTGTTTTTCTATTGTTTCAGCCATGTGGCCCTAAGTAGGCATGTTGGATATTGCCTGTGAAACATAGTAATGATTCCACAGCATGTTATATCTGGGATATAACATGTTATACCCTTCTCCATTAATCAAAGGCAGTGATCTCTTAATCTATCCACGGTTTTACTGAGTAGAGTTAGTTGTAGCCCTGGTAAGATTGAGTCTGTTTTTGGTCCTTACTTCTCCCTCCAGAATTGTCCATTGAGAGTCTAATGAGATCTCTTGGACTTAGTTCTGTCTTGCTCTCGCGTTGGAATACATGATTTACTTTCCAGAAGTTTCCTACTTCAGATCTTAGTCTCTCGTGCTATGCGCAAAACCTGGGGTCTGCTGGAGCCGTGCCTTGGGCCGTGGGTCGTGTGGCTTCAATAGAGGCTCCTTTCAGCCTGCCCCAAGACTTCTCTGGCTCCTTATCAGTATAACCTATAGCCTTCACATGGAATTTCTGCATAACAAAACCGTGAACCTAGTGGCTTAGAACAGCACTCAGTTTGTCAGCTGATGTCTGGGCATGACATACGTGGGTTCACTGCTCTGGGGTCGGCAAGCCTGCAATAAAGAAGTCAGGTGGGCTGTGTACTCATCCGCAGGTCAGATTAAGGGAGAACTAGCTGTAAAGCTCGCTCAGGTTGTTGGCAGAATCTTGTTCCTTGCAGCTGTAGGAACGAGGTCCTCATCTCTTTTACTGTGCGCTGGCGGAGGTCACGCTTCGCCTCCACGAGCAGCCACTGCTCCCTCCATCCTGTGCCTCCCACGCATGTCCAAACTCAGCAACAGGGAATTTTTTTCCCTCCTTGTCTTCCCTGGTTTCACTTTCGCCAGGAGCAGGCAGTCCAGTCTCTTCTAAGGGACCCACAAGGTTAGATAAGTCCCATCAAAAATAATCCCCTGTCTTAAACGACCTGTGGCACTTGTCAGAATATAGTCAAAGGCACGGTGTCTGTCACATCAAAGTCTCTCTTGCGCCAAGGAGAGAGGATACAAGGACACCGTCCCCGAGAGTCACCCTAGAATCGTCCATGCTATTGCTGGCAAGTGCCCAACAATAGAAACGCCTGTAGAACTACAGTTGTCTGGTTTCAAGCTGCTATTTCTGGAGCCTTCATCTCCTCCTGCCACGTCCAGCTGCTCTAGAGGGGTCACTGCTTTGCTGCAAGTTGCTTGAAAACTCAGGTAAATATAGAGATTCTTATTAAGTTTCAAAATCCTGCAAATTTCTACAATAGTAATTGTAAGCACCAGTTTCATTCTATATATAATCTCACACTTCACTAAAGGAAAAAATGACTTCACAAGCATATCTCTTGGTTACTTGCATTGGTAGTTTGCTCGGCAAAAATTAGAATGTTGGTTTTGTTACATGTGATAATGTTGGGATTTAATTCATTTATTTTTATTTTTTATTAGTACACATTTATAGTACATAATGGTTACATTCATTGTAAGGAGTGGGTGTGAGTAAATAATGTATTTTAATTCTTTTTATTCCTTTCCCCCAACCTGATTCATTTATTTTAATACAGATAAAGTTTTTGGGGGCTGGAGATTTAGCTCCGAGCCACAGCACCTGCCTGGCAAGCGCAAGGTCATGAGTTCGATTCCTGGTACCAGAAGAAAAATAAAAATACAGATAAATTCTTTTTAAGAAATGATTAGTTTTAGTACTTGGGATTGAATCCAGTGACTGATGTGTACTAGGCAAGTGTTCCACCACTGAGCTGCAACACCAGCCTTTGAGCAACTATTCTTAATCAAAGATCCATATGTATAATATAATGTTGAGATTTTGAGACTCTAGAATTTAAAGCATTTTTTGTTTCAATAAGTTAAAATAGAAGTTTCTATTAACAAAATATCTCAATTGTATTTATAAAATAGTTTCAAAAGATCAGTACACAGTGGGAAAAAAATTAATTAACCTAGCAAACTCAGTTAATAGGGTAATTAATTTTTTTAAGTAAATGAAAAATTCTGCTGTTACACTACACTAAAGAACAGTAATAGTTTTTCATTCTTCTAGACTTACGGAAAAAAGTTTTAGTACTTTTACTGCAACTGTAATACACATTAACAGGCAGTTTAGAATCCTTTGTGTTTGCTTTACAGTTTGTCCATAGTTATGCCTCATCAAGATGACACACAATAATGTACTATTACTCGCTGTGTCAATAATGTGTCATTATTCAATGTGTCAACATTCAATGTGTCAATAATATATCATTTCACCCCAAAATACATATGACTAAGAGATTATTCTCAAAACAGAATAATTTAAAAGAAAATTATTTTTCTCATTCAGATGATTTAAATACATTTATATCTGAGTGTCCCATTTTTGTATTGCCTTTACTTATTCATAGAAATACATGCCACACTGCCCACATGCAAGTTGGCAGTTTTAAAAAATCAATAAATTAATTGTGGAATACAGTGTTAAAACAACACTTACACTATTTGATTTTAAGAATGTTTTTTTAAAAAGATACTTTTTTCAGCCTTTAAATAAGGCAGATATATGTGAAAATTTTCCATATTCTGCTGCATCTCATTTAAATTTATTTAAAATCATGGTATTAAAGTAGTATTTTTCAAATTACTCCTGTACAACCTACTTGTTAAGTATTTTAGACACTACATGCTTAAGACAAATATTTTTTAAGCATTAGATTTCAACAAAGAGTTCATTTTACAGGATTCTTTATCTTTGCTTTGTGGTTGGCCTTGGTAATATAAAAATCTTCAAGTTATCACATCCTTCTTTCTTTATTCCCGAATAAAAACAATCTCTGCAGAATTAATGAAAGGCCATATTTGCTTTTAGGAAAGCACAATTTAGTGATAAGAACAACCCTCATGCATACAAAGCATGTTTTAAATTTATTCAGGAAAAAAGCATAGATATGGTGCTTTATAAATAATGTGTTTTGAAATGCTAGCCAAAAGATCATTCAGATGACAGAATGTGGTGTGAAGAAAAATTTAACGTTCACTCGCCTATTAAGTGTACATAAGCACAGTGGCAAAGAAGAGGTAAATATTGAAGAATAGCAAAATGCCTCATAGCCAAGTTAATGTGTGTCTGTGGTACAAGAACTATCTGCAGGGAATCTTTGCATTCTTCTTGCCTTCTAGGGACTCTTCAGTATTGAAGGGATAGAGTAGTAAGGAGTGCATTATACTTGTTCTTTTTGGAGCGACGTAGCATAGAGGGTACTGACAACATGCGCTGGAGAGGACATTAAATCTATTTTCTTATCTGTGAAAAAGGGAAACCAACCGGCCTTGAGGGCTTCGAAGATACAAATCCACGTAAGAGAAGCAGTGGGCGAAAGTCAACTGCGTGCATTCTTAAATCACAAAGCAATTATTACTTCATCGAAAATGTGGGTAAATGGAAAGTTTACCAACACAGCACTCCTATTCAAATTAAAAATTGTCATCATTCATTCATTGGACCGTTATATGTGTAGTCTTATAATACAAGTCTGCAAAAAGTTGGTTCATTTTCCAAAATTGTTTTAGATGTCTCACTGAAAGAATTCCGAGGAAGCGGAGTGAGTTTCTGGGTGTCTGATGATACTATAAACAAATGGCCCCACTTTCCTTGATACCAAGTTGTATTTATTGTCAGTGCTTACAACTCCTTCATTTGTGAGCCTTCTCCCCCTCCTGTAAAATGCAGGCCTACTGACGACCCGGATGTTTGCTTCCCCTAGGGCACTGTCCCAAACCCCTCTAGCTTCAGCACTTCTTTCAAACCAGCAGAGCTGAGCCCTGGCTAAGATTCCCATCTGCTGCTGAGATCTTCACGCTGCTTGCAGATCAGAGGGGCTGCTCCGTGGCTTGCCAGGTGTCCGGGGCAGGCACCCTTGGGCCCTTGGGGTCCTCACCAGAGCAGTCCTGTGGGTTTGTGGGTGCATCTCTCGGGGAGCAGCCCGGTGACTGTTGCAGTTTGCACCCTGGTTTCTCTTCCCTGCTTCTAGCGGCCCGTGGGTGATTCAGTTCAACGCTGCTTATCTCCGCAGGGATTTTTTGCGAGGGCGGTGAAGAGACTGGTCATGCGGCAGTGTCCCCTAAGGCAGCGTCCCCAAGGCTAGGTGCAGCGTGCCTGGCCCAGATTGGCTGAAGAGGCTCCTCCATCACCAGCTGTGCTGCCTTAGGGAGGGCCACACGGCACAGTGGTGAGTGAAACTCCATCTCACCCTCTTGGGCGGATCCACTACTGCATATATACATTTTTTCACCAAAGCCCTGGAACCTCAGCTGGACTTCCGGGCTTCCGGAAAACTTTCTATTCATAGATGGTGAACAAAACAGTTGTGTTTTCTGCGGGGTAGGGGGCAAGTAGAGACTCTTATTCAATAGCCTTGTTCTTACCCTGAATTTTCAGTCACTCGGGGATTTACCTTTGCTGGAGGAAGGCGTTCCGAACAGGAGCTCGCAGAACTTGCCACTTTCAATACCAGTTTTCTAAGCTTGATGCTGCTGTGCCCTATTAATGCAGTCTCTGGTCTTTTATCATTTCCTGCATCACACACTGTGAGGTTTCCTACTCTGTTCAGTAATGTTCTCACACTTCCCCAAGCCGCAGCTAGTTATAATCCTTGAAATCCCAATTTAAGGCCCGCTTGTGGAGTGAATTTACTGGTAATCTCACAGCCAGCGCAGCACAGCTTTGCTCCCCGCCAGTGGACGCGGGCAGCGCTACCCATCTCTCCCGGCTGCTGTGCCCCCGCCCCCTCGGCATCATGGTGGTTAAAGGACGCGTTCACTGCCCTCGTCTTGAGGTTATCCGCTCTTTGTATCCTAACATCTAGTAGACTGCCATTCATGCTGAAGGCGCTCAATCAGTGATTGTTGAATTGAATTGATGCTGTTTGGCTGTTAATTGATTTTTGAAATAATAATTCTCCTTAGCAGAGGAATAATTGCTACCTATCAAAGGTCATTTCTGGTTGAATAGTTTTCCCTTCTACTTACACTGTCATTATATAATAAGAAGATGCTTCTGAATGAAATTTTTATTTTTATTATTATCAAGTTTATTGGTACCATTTTGATATACAAAACGATCATATTCATCATAGGAAATTTGTACCTGTATAGGATATACCTTGATTCCTCTGAAAAAGGTTCTTAAAAACAGCATTGTCAAAGTTAAATAAAAAATGTTGCTCACTCCTTGAGCATAATTCACTTCCTCACTTGTGGGAGGTCTACTTGTTGTTGTTTTGTTTTTGGTACCAGGAATTGAACTCAGGACCTTGCGCTTGCCAGGCAGGAACTTATGCCACTGAGGTATATCCCCAGCCCGTAGGAGGTCTACTTGGAGCCAGTTTTGTCAGGCTTTTACACTAGTGTCTTAAAATGACACCCAAAATATATTGGTACCTTGCATTTTAACGATTTTTTTTCTTCCTATTCTGATTAGGGAATCAGTGTTCTAAACTTTAAGTAGTTCTAACATATTTTTCGAATGCCTTAGGAATAGAATTGTGCACATGAATATATCACTTTGTATTGATTATATTTATCATCTTTTGGGCTGGGAGAGGCAGGTAGCCTGTCAAGATATGCTCTATAGTAAAGACAATTGAGGGTTTGTTGTCTTCTAGAAAACTGAATGACCACAGTTTCCTCAAAACAGAGAAAGATTTATGGCCACATGTTTACAAATTAGAGGAAAAAGTTATGAAGGAATAATTTAATTTGTCAGTGCTGAGGTAGGAACCAAAAGGTGCTCAAGATAGCATTTCAAAAGCAGGTCCACCAAAAACCTCCAGGGTGCAGGAAAATTGTAGGAAGAGGCTGCGGTGCTCTGACTCTGATTCCAAAGAAAAGATCTAACACAGCTGTCTTCTGCTGAATACGTGCCATGCCTGGTAAAAATATACTATAAACATTCTGTACATCAGGACTCCAGACCCCATTTTATTCCTTGTAAAAGTCAAACAGGTTTGTGAACAACGAATGTATGATGTTTCTGATTTTAAATCCTGGATCCCTCCTCATTTTCTCGTTTTTCACCTTTCCAGTTTTGTTCTAGCCTGTGATGCTTTGGAAGCTTTGTCTACAGGTAATGCCTCAAAATACGTCGGAGTTAATAACAAGGGAACAAAAATGAGAATTCCTTTTTCTCAATGCCACCTAATCCACACAGTTTTCTTCCTCTCTTTATTTTACGATCTCTACTTTTGTTATGTAAGTGTCTTAGTATTTTATAAAAAGCTTTCCCTATGCCCTCTTCTTTGTTCTTTTCTCTTTCTTGTTCTCTGATTCTATATCATGAATTCTGAGAAAAAATGTTTAAATGTGAAGGTGTTGGGAAGAAACTAAATGAGGAAATAGGACTTTTTTTTTTGTGGTACTGGGAATTGAACTCATGACCTTGTGCTTGCCAGGTAGGTGCTGTGCCACAGAGCTATATCCCCGGCAAGGACATATTTTTTATTTAATGAAAATACTTGGAGCATTTATGAATTAAAATTTTTACCTTTTAAGCACTTTTATTCATGTCAATCTGTATAGTTATGAATAATTGCATATTATAACTTTAGATTTCATTAAAATATCAATAACTTATGGAAAGAATATCAATGTTTTCACAAGTATTAATATTGATACTAAAAATATTTGTACTAATTTGTGGTACTCAATTATGTTTTCTTGAAATGACTGTCATTTTATGGAATATTTTTATAAATTACATCTTATTTTAGAGTTATATACTGTTACATAGGTAAATCATTTGATGATAGTAATTCTCCTTTTCCATAGGGGATAAATTCCAAGACTCCCAATGGATTCCTACAGATACTGAAGCATTTTACAAGCACTATGATGATAGCATTTGATATGATAAGCAACATGGTTACTAAGTGAGTTCCAGGTAGGTAACATATATAGTGTGGATACACTGAGACAGAGTATATTCTAGGTGAGACAGAGCAAGATAGGACAATGTTTTATCTCAGTATTCTAAACAAAATGCAATTTAAAACTTAGGAACTGCTTATTTCTGGAATTTCTTTCCTTTATTATGTGGAACTGTAGTTGACCATGAATAATTGAAATCTTGGAAAGCAAAACTGTAGAGAAGCAGAGAATCACTCTAGCTGCTATCAAAAGGCAAATGTAGGAGTGATTACCTGACTTAGCATATTAAACCTCACCCATTTAGATTCTATAGCAAGAGCATCATGTGAATTTTCTGAGAAACATTGGGAAAATACATATTTCCTTCCTTATAATGGAATAATTATCAATTTATGAAAATAAAAATGAATCCAAATTTAATATTCAGTGAATATTAAATAAAATATTGTAACACTTAATGCACCTAGAAAGACTCTGACAAATTCTCTAAATTACTAACCTTAGCCTTGAAACACATAGCTTTCACTTACTTTCTCTATATACCTTACAAGAATGTTTCTTAGCAAACTTGGTTAAAAATCTTAAAGGCAAGAGAATAGCAAGAAATTTGCTTATGGTAAATATACTGGTAATACTTGAATTTTATTTCTTAAAATTAGTATAGATGGTCCTTAACTTATGAGAAAGTCCTGTCCTGATAAACTCATGATAAGTTGAAAATACAAGGTATGATTGAAAAATATGGTGAATGTCTAAATTTGTTATAGTAAAAGGCATTGCTATTCATCCCCTTCAAAATATTCCCACCTGGTTTGAACACAATTTTTCCATCATTCTTGCCACCTTCTGAAGCAGTTCTAAAGTCCTCTTTCCTGAGTGTCCTTAGCTGTACTGTTGTGGCTCACTCAGAAGTCCTGAGAGAATTCAAAATGTTTACATTTCCTGGTCACTCTGTGGGAAGAGGCAGATGTCTTATGGTGCCAGATTGCGTGAATAAGGGGGTAAAAATGCACCAGAATTTCTAAGTCTGCCTCTCCGTTGGATGGCAGCAGTGTTCACTGAATTTTTGATCAGAACTTGTAAACACACTCAGGAAAGAGGACTCCCCTAACTGGTTCAAAAGGGGGCAAGAACTATGGGAAAATGGGTGGGCAGCAAGTGATAAGAGTCTGGAGAGCGATTAACGGAAAACTGCAGTAAGTTTTAAGCTTTAAATATTCACCACATGCTCTGATCATACCTCATATCTTTACAATATATTTAATAGACCAAAGCTACTGAACAGCACAGCTTAACCCACAGTACCCTGCAGAATCTTTTTTTTTTTTTTTTAATATGGAATGCTTCACCAATTTGCATGTCATCCTTGCGCAGGGGCCATGCTAATCTCTGTATCATTCCAATTTTAGTATATGTGCTGCCGAAGCGAGCACCCCTGTGGAATCTTGGTTTCCCTTCCTCATTGCGGCCACTACCTAGCACGGCAAGAGGATATTATTACTAGGCTGGGAAAATTTGAAGTTAGGTATGGTTGCTTCTAAATGTGCATCATTTGTACAGCATTGTAAAGTATAAGACACTCAAGTAAAAGCATTTAAGTTAAGCACAGTCTGTACTTTAACATAAGGATTTAGCCCTAAGTGCAAGCATTTAAATATAGAAAATGATAGGAAGATGCAAAAATGGCTTTGCATTGGCCAGGGTAGAGACTAGCTGAGTTTCCATCACCTCCCTCCAGATGTCTCCAGGGGAAATGGCCTTCCGGGGGTCACAGTTTCTCTTCCTCCCCATTGTCCCCTGAGGCTCCACCACTACCTTGCCAGGAGCCAGGAGCCAGGAGCTGTCCTCCCAGAACCATCCATTCTCAGCCAATAAGGCTTCTTGTTGCTCTGTGAAATGAACTCTGAAAAGTTTTTCTAGAGCCTCTCTTCTTCCCTTTTCACAGACTTTAACATAACATTACTTTCCATTTTTGTTCTGCATTTTCCGAGCAAGCATTCTCGTAGGTGAGGCAGATTAGCGCGGGAAGTTGCAAAGCATTGCTGTAGTGGTGCCGGAAGAGCCCCTTCTGTTGAGCACTGCTTCCCACCCTCTTCCCGTCTCTGCGCTCTACGCTTGACTGGGCGGTGTGGCTTATTCCGTTTTCAGAATGAAAAACGTATGTCAAAAGGGTGATGTTTTTGACCAAATGTAGTAGAATAGTAGGCAAAAGAAAGAAAATAGAAAACTATGTAATTTTAACCCTACTCCTGATGGCTAAACATGCATATTAACTGCGTTGATGAACTTGGCTAAGTCACTTAACTTTCTAATTCCCAGTTACTGAGTTTTTAAGTAAAAATAGTAATACCTTTCCTTCTCATTTCACAGGGAATCAAACTGACTCCAGAATATAATAGATAAATACCTATCAAATATCAAACACTTGCACATGTGAACTTTTGTTTGTTTGTTCATTTTTGTCTTTTTGAGACAGGGTCTCCCTGTGTAGTTCAGGTTGGGCTTGAACTCACTATATAGCCCATGCTGGCCTCAAACTCATGGCAATCCTCCTGCCTCAGCCTCCTGAGTGGTGGGATTATGGATGGGAGCCACCCCATCTGGCTGTAGATGTAAACATTTAAACATCTCTCTTCCTCTCCCTTCTCCCACCTTTGGATTTTATCCATAGAATATCCCACTTCTTTTTACCTTAAGGAGACACATCCACAAATGGTTTCTCACACATACAAGAAAAGAAGTCTTAATGTTTTGAATTTCAAATCATTATAGCAAATAATCTCTGGAATCTTGAAAAGTATTGAGAAATCTTGCTTACTACCCTACTACTTCCTACTCCTGACACAGTAAAAATGATTCTAAACCTGATATCATTAATGCCACTTTCATTTGGAGCACAGACATAAATATTACTGAGTCAATGTTCTTACATATTTATCATCAAATAGAGAATAAAATATGATGTATATTACAAATAATAATGTGACTACTAAAATCAAGTTCTGTGGTAATCGGAATTTCAGACAGTCTAAGAGTGCAGTATGGAATTTGGAGTGGTGAAAGAGAAGAAAAGGAAGCAAAAGGGAAGTTGATAGCAGGAAAAATAAAGATTATTCCAGAAAGATGTGATTTGTGACTTCCTGGAAGCAACACTGCAAAAAAAAAAAAAAAATTGGCTAAATCAATCATTAAGTATTCTACTTCTTGAATTAAATAATTAGGAATTTTACCATATATTTGTAGAGAATAAAAATCTGTTGTGATATGGATTTTAGCTAACTGGAAAGTGAAGGAATAAAAAAGCCATGGATTCAAAAGGCTCAAAGGAGCCAACAGAAGATGGTTTTCTTCTGTTCATAGGGACATTTGAGAAAAGGCTTTAAAGTTCAGATTCTTGAGAACTTTGTTACTGAATATAAACTTGACGATTTCCCCGGGCTTAAGCTATGTCTTTTGGCTTTCCTGGCGCTGGGCCTGTTCCAACAGCGTGAATGTATAGTAGACAGATGGTTACATCAACCCCCAATTGGTTACAGCTCTTTTAAGAATTGATGAATGGTCAGTTTGACCTTGAAGTTCTTAACATAAACTTCAATGTACGGCTGGAGGAGGTACTGTGCATCCATGTTAATATTCTCATGGTTGCATTCATCCACTTGTTCATTTTTCTTTCATCTGCAATGGAACAACCTCTTAGAGAAGACCAATCATGTTCTGTCTTTAGTTATATTTCAGCTCAGTACCCACCCTTATTATAGTGGAAATTTTCACAGTACAGCAACCAGAAGATTTTAATAGTCCATATAGAAGAAACTAGAGATGGGATGTCTTTGCTTTTCCTTCTCCTACAGTTGGTGTTTTTGTTTTTTAATAAAGCCTGTTATTAACTGATGGTTATATGTGGCCTTCCCCCAAATAGCAGAGGTTACAGCATGTAATCCAGCCACAGCCAATAGGTGTATCATTTCCCTTGGTTTCTATTGGTTGAAAAAATTAAAATCCCCCTAGGGGAAGTTTTGTTGAGCTGTGGGTAAAGAGATTATTTTTCTCTTTATTGTCTAACCCTTACTACGTACTAAAACCAACATAAGATATCACTTTCGCCACATGTAGCACCAGCCTGAAAATAAAGTGGCAGGATGAGAAGAGAGAGAGGGAAAGAGAGAGAGAGAGAGAGAGAGAAAGAGGCAGA